AATATCCATTTGGGCAAGTTTTCTCTAAGACATATATAATTCACCAAAGGAGCTATTATATATATGCCCCCCAGTGGCACAGCGTTATGTCTGCAGACTTACAACGCTAGAATCCGGGTTTCGATACCCGTGGTGGGCAGAGCACGGATAGCCCATTGTGTAGCTTTGTGCTTAATTACAAACAAACAAATAAACTAATAGGCATAGTTTTATCAACACTGAATTCGATAATTTCCTTTTATCTAACCCTCTTTTTCTCTGATGTAGATTGCAAGTGTTCTATTATTAATCCTGTCCGTTTTGGGGGTAAATGTTCTGTTTCTGTTGATATGTTTTTTTAATTCGTTTATTTCTGAACTCACGTCTGTTCCTCTGATTAATTGTGATTCTTCTTCAGTTAATAATTCTTGTGAATCGGGAATTGTTTAATTGTGCAGCAATATACTTAGTTTTACTTCTAAAACTGGAGGGTAAAGTTATCCATGTTCTCAACAATTCCTAGTTAATTTTAAATATCCACTATCTCGTGATTTAATTACCTCCGTCTGATTTTGGACATACTACCGATAAAGTTAGTTCTCCACTAACGGTAAATAGGCATGTTCCTGGTGTTTTACTTTTAAACATGTAAAATGATTTAGCAAATAGTTCAGTTATTTTACTTTTAATACCTGCAAAAAATCACATAGTTACACGTTACTATGGCTACCGAATATATTCCAGAATCAGGATCGCATACTCTAATGGTCCCTCTCTATAGAGATTTTAGTGTTATCTTCTTCTGTTAATTCTAGATATGTTTCTTGATCATTAGAAACAGCCGTTTTTCACTATCTATAGTTAATGCTACTGAATTATTTAAGGCTAATGGTAAGGGTGTTAGTCGATATAGTTTAAACATTCTGTCTGTTGCCTTTAGGGCAATCTCTATAAACATTCACAGTATATCTCTCACTGCAGCTGTTTATAGGACAGCCCATGTATAATACACTCAGATCTAATCACTATGCGTAGGGATTACAGACTGTAAATATGAAGGTAATCATTGTTAATTGCGTTCACATCACTATTAGATATTTGTATAATAACTCGAGGGCAAATCTTACTCGCCTTGTCCTGGGGGTAAGTGTTAATTCTGGTTGATCCGCTAATGGGCCTCGTGACCGTAGGTTGCAACCATGAGTCACTGTATCGTTTTGCATTGTTACTTGGTACATCTTATTGTATTGGTGTTCTACTTTCGTCACTAGGGTCGCTAATTTGAATATCTTCAGCAGTTATGAACTAAATCATCTAGTATAACATCACCTTCTTCTAGTATAGGTTATTCTAAGTTCGTCACCATCAGGGGTTATTTCGGTCTCACTTGTGTCTTCAGTTTCTTTTTGTAAGTTCTTACCTTGTATTTTTTACTTCAGTTTCGTCTGTAAATTGCTCATACTGATATGGTTGGGAATTCCTTACTAGGTTTAATCTGTTAACATATACTAGTTGTATATGTTGACCATATATTTCTTGAATCTCTAAGTTAACTTGACTTGTTTGTTTAATTGCCCCAAATTGCTAGTTTTTTATTTCCTTTCTTAACCTCCAGTGTGTATAGTAAAACCACATTTCACTGGTCTGTGTGCTAGTTTTTTTATTTCATTTCTTAACCTCCAGTGTGTATAGTAAAACCACATTTCACTGGTCTGTGTGCTAGTTTTTTATTTCATTTCTTAACCTCCAGTGTGTATAGTAAAACCACATTTCACTGGTCTGTGCTTTCTTATTCACAGGTTTTTCTCGTTGTTCAGCAGCTTTAGTCAAATGTCCATTTTCTATTTGAAACATGGTTTGCATTCTCTGCATCATTTAAGCATAGTTAATTTTTCTAGGGGCTAATATTTCTTGCATAGGTAATATTACATTTCTACCATGTAACAGAAAGAAATGACTTTCTTGTGTAGATTCATTTTCAGCATTTCTGTAAGCTAATAGCAATAAAGGAACGTGCTAATCCCAGGACTTCTGATCTTGCTCACAGTACTGAGAGATCATATGTAATAGTGTTCAGTTAAATCTCTCTACTAGACTATTAGCAGCTGGGTAATAAGCAGTGGTTTAGATTTTTTTAGACACCTAGCGTATTGCAAATTTCTTTCATTAGCCTAGAAATGAAGTTTGGACCACGAGCTATTAACAAATATTGTGCTTTGCCATGTCTAGCCAGCCATAAGTTGATTCACAAATGCCTTAACAATTGTTTCTACTTCCTGATCTGGTAAACAGATCGCTTCTGGAAATCTAGTTATACAGTCAACAACGACTAGAACATATTTATTTCCTGCATATGATGTAGGCAATGGAAATAAAATATCCATAGTCACTGGTAAGATGTGGCTAAACTAGACATCCTTTGTAAAGGACCATTCTTTAGGTATGTACTAAACATGACTGACAGTAATTTTTATGTCTTTTTTTTCATAATCATCCAAAAGATTACTGATTCTGATTACATTACTGATTATTGGGAATATCTCACAATTATTGTCAACTTCTGATTTTAATTTGGAAATTTTATTAATTAATTTATTATGAGTTCATTTTTTTATACTGCTTAAGGCATCTACATTTGAATGTTTTTTATCCAGTCTGTGTATAACTTAGTCTTACAGTAACAACGATCATCTAGCTAATCTCAAGGGTGCGTGATCTATGATTATGGTAATTCTTCGACCATACAGATAACATATGAAGGTTTTAATTCCACGTATTACAGCTAAGAATTCTTGTTTGCTTATGGAGTAATTGATTTCAGTTTTCCCTAGTTGTCTACTCTAATACGATATAAGGTGTTCCTTTCCGTTTTCTTTTACTTGAGACAAAACTGCACTTATAACAAAAACCGAAGCGTCCATACTTAAAACGAATGATTTTACTAAAGTCTGGGTAGCGTCAAATTGGTGCCTTTAATAGTGAGTCTCATAGTTTTTAAATGCTTCTTGCCTTTTATCTGTCCATCGAAATGTGACATCTTTCTTAGTTAATTCCATAAAGGGTCTTGCTAGACTCGCGAAATGCGGAATAAATATTCTATAAAATCCTATAAATCCAGAAATGAACGGATATTTTTACTGTTTTTGGTATTGAATAATTTTTACAAACTTGTTGTTTCTTTAGGTCAGGTTTTACATCTTCTGTGGTTACAACCTAACCTAAATATTCTACTTCTTTTCATAGTAACTGGCATTTACTAGTTTTTAGCTTTAAATTTGCTTTGCATAATCTGTCTTAGTCTTTCTAAATGTTCATCAAAACTCACAGAAAACGTTATGACGACACCAAAGTAACAGAAGCATTCTAAATCTTGTAAACCAGATAGTATAACATTAATGTCTGAAATGTTGAGGGAGCATTACATAATCCAAGTGGCGTTCTGTTAAACTGGTATTTACCTGAAAGCAGTACAAATGTCTTCTCCCTCGAGCTCTACTTGCCAATATCCGATTTGTAAGACCATGGACGAAAAATACCTAATTTAACGTAACCTATCTAATGTCTCCTGAATATTAGGTAATGACTGTTACACCGTTCACTTTTCGAAAATCCACACAGAACCTTAAATTACTGTCCTTTTCAGGAACTAATAGAACTGGGGTGGCATACGGACTACTCCTATTACACCTTGTTCAAGCACTTTCTTTACACATTCCTTTAGTTCTACTCTGTGCTTCTCTGGCACTCTATAAGGTCTTTGTGCGTTAGGCTTATTATCACTTAGCATTATCCTATGTTTAACCTTATTTATACATCCATTATAATAACCTTCTCCTACGAATAAATCTCTATATTCATCTAGCAACTTTATTAACTTCTGTTTAACGAATATATCTCTATATTCATCTAGCAACTTTATTAACTTCTGTTTAACGAATATATCTCTATATTCATCTAGCAACTTTATTAACTTCTGTTTAACGAATATATCTCTATATTCATCTAGCAACTTTATTAACTTCTGTTTAACGAATATATCTCTATATTCATCTAGCAACTTTATTAACTTCTGTTTAACGAATATATCTCTATATTCATCTAGCAACTTTATTAACTTCTGTTTAACGAATATATATCTATATTCATCTAGCAACTTTATTAACTTATGTTTATATTTCTCTTCTACATCTCCAATAGAGTTCCAATCTGTTTTACTGTGTGATGCCTGTTTCTTGTTAAGTTCTCTGTTATGTTGTTCTACAGTGGCTATTTTCTCTCTACTGCTACCTTTATATATCCTAATCTGCTTAGGTAGTATTATTTTTTCCTCACTTATGTATAATACTATAATTGGCATGATGTCTCTCTGAGTCACTTTACTGATACAAGCAGTTATGCAAATTCCTGCTTCTTCTATGTTTACAGACTCAATTAATACTTCTTCATTTTGTTTAAAGTCTTCTTTAGCTTCGATAATGAATTGACTTCTGGCAGGCATTTCTGTTACTTTAACTAATCCTACAGGTACTCTTTCTATCAGATTCTCCTGTTTGAATGCTCTGTTACTTTCATCATACATAAGTGTAGAGTCATCTGAGGGTTCTGACTTACTATTTCCCTGTTTTAGTTTCTTAATCTTACTTTGTCTTACATTCATTTCACTTAATTTATTTTTAGTAGTCTCGGAATTATTATTACTATTACTACTAATGTTATGGCTAGGCTTATAGCTTTTCTTTCTATTTTTTAACTTGATTTCTCTGTGAACACTTCGTATTCGTACCATGCCAACTCTGTCATGTATTTAAAAGGATCAGTGCTGTTGCATACTGATGGTTGATCCTTAGTTTTGCTAATGCTAGTGTTCGGCATCTGACTATTAGCCTTAGTCAGTAAGAAGATATCAGTTGTCGTAACTTTAGCCTATAAGTCTGAAGGTAATTTATAAGTTATAAGCCTATAAGTCTGAAGGTAATTTATAAGTTATAATTTATAAGTCTGAAGGTAATTTATAAGTTATAAGCCTATAAGTCTGAAGGTAATTTATAAGTTATAAGCCTATAAGTCTGAAGGTAATTTATAAGTTATAAGCCTATAAGTCTGAAGGTAATTTATAAGTTATAAGCCTATAAGTCTGAAGGTAATTTATAAGTTATAATTTATAAGTCTGAAGGTAATTTATAAGTTATAAGCCTATAAGTCTGAAGGTAATTTATAAGTTATAAGCCTATAAGTCTGACGATACTACTCCTTCAAAATTTAAGATCTCCATTTCTAGGTACGGATGACCTCTGGTAAGAGCTGTTTCATCTGTCTCTAAATATATTTGTTTACAGATGTAAAATGAGTGTTCAAGTTTCAAATTTCCTATTCTTAATTGAACACTATATTTACCTAGTGTTTAAACAGGATGTTCTGTTATAGACGTTAATACACTTTTTGGATACTTCTTTCCAAGCACTATTTAATATTATCGAATTTTTATCTACTAAGTGTGCACTTAGCAAAGAAGATGGAGCGTCTGTTTCAACTAATTATCAACATTCCATAATCTCTACTTGAATTAAAACTACTGTTGTAATTTCATTGGCACAATTAACACTCAATTTCTTATTCTAAACTGCCAGAACCATTACGGTCGTAAGACTTCTATTATAGTTTCTCATGAACTTTCCTCTGAAATTTCCAGCTTTTGGGGCTTTTGTGTTATTTATTTTTAACGGGCATCTGCAGTTTCTTACAATGTGGCCCTTCAATCCACAATTAAAGCAAATTATCTGCTCGTTATTTTTCTGATAATAATTCTTTGCTATATGTCCTACCTTGGTACAGTTAAAACATTTTAAACCTTCGAACATACTCTGGTGTTTATTTCTCCAGCTTGTTTTATCATTCCTACTATTACTTACTGTATTTATAGTAGAATGCTGAGGTCAGTAAATTTGTTTTTCTAGTAGTTATTCTCTGATAGTCACTTCGATTAAGTCTAACAAAGTTGCGTTAGGCGTTTTCACTTCATTAATGTTTCTGTGGGCTGCGTTACTAAGCAAATCTCGCTCATAATACGATTTTAAGATATGCTGATCATCAGTTCATTTGGGTGTCTATAAGCTCTGCATACTCTGTTTCCCAGCTCTTGTAGCACTCTGATTGCACTCAAACACTCTGATTGACTTACCTCATAGCTGGGTTAAGCAGTGTCAATATTGTATTGGGTATTTCTCGCTTCTTGTATTCTTTTACTAATCTCCGTGCTAAATACTAAACGTCTGCGGTTTCACACAGTTCATCATAAGCCATAACGTATCGCTTTGCTTCCCCTGCCATTCTAAGTCTGTGTATATCAGCTTTTTGAGCATCTGTCGAGGCCAAAGTTCAAGCAGCTTCTTTTAAGGCATCTGTAAAACTTTCTACATCTTCATTGATTTGACCTTCTAAAAGTGGTATAACACTTGTTAAGTGTCCCATAGCTCTGCTAACACAGGTTGATCTCCCATGCCAGACCTTAGTCATGTGCCTTCTCTGGTAGAAGTAAGGTCTAAGTCACTAGTGATAGCCATGTCTACTTATTACTTATTATGTCATAAATCTACTTATGCTACTTATTCTAACTTATTTAACTCTATTCTTTATTCCTCACAACCTGTTCTTTGTGTGCTCCAAATTATGTCCTATTGATATTGGCTCATTTCATCATGTGTTTTATCTAGTTATTGGAGTTTTCTCAACATATCACGTCTGCAAGCTGTGAATTCTTGCTCTGAGGTGACTGGAATGTTGCTTTTAGCCTACTCCCGCCTCAAGCCTGCATCTTCCCTAACTGGCACTGCACTTTACTAATTTCTGCCCACCCTTTCTTATAATATTTTCGATCCACTATTCTATATATACGTTAAAAAAATAAATAAAATTTACTTCACGGTGCCATATTCCATCTGTATGTACTGGTTCCTGTATTATACACTAGCCTTAAACTTATGCTCCGTGAAGTGATATGATCCTGTATCAGACCATGATCATGAGAACAAATAAACTTCAAAAAACATTCCAGGAAGTCTTGTATCCATTGTTGACCGAGGTAAATAAACTTCAAAAACATTCCAGGAAGTCTTGTATCTATTGTTGACCGAGGTAGGTCGATATTAAAACTGACAAAACATTCCAGAAAGTCTTGTATCCATTGTTGACCGAGGTAGGTCGATATTAAAACTGACAAAACATTCCAGGAAGTCTTGTATCCATTGTTGACCGAGGTAAATAAACTTCAAAAACATTCCAGGAAGTCTTGTATCCATTGTTGACCGAGGTAGGTCGATATTAAAACTGGCCAACAACTGCATTAATGTGTGCTTTCATAAACCTTTGCCCTAGTCTTTCACTGCTAAATTAGGGACGGCTAGCACAGATAGCCCTCGTGTAGCTTTGCGCGAAGTTCAAAACAAAACAAACAAAACCACATTAACTAATTATTAACAGTTTGTCGTGGCTTCGGTATAAATGTGGCCTCAAGGAAAATTTTAGATTTTACGTTTCAGATCATATCACAATTTTATCGATTAGGATTGATACTAAAATAATATATACTAGCTGGAGTATCCGTCCCCTGGACGGAAGTTACGTAAATTCATGATTAATGAAAGGTTATCTTAGGACATGAAAAGTTGCTTGCCTTATATGTAATTGTAGAAAACGTAAAACTGCTCATAAAAACTGCAAAACACAAAATGTGAAACCGCAAGTTTGCATGTCTCCCTGCATAGACCCAACAAGCCTTCATACAAAATTTGGTGAAGATCCATCAACAGAGAGCGAAGTAGTGGTAAAAACCGCAAAATGCAAAATTGAAAATTTGTACCCCCGCACGGATCTAATGAACCTCCATATTAAATTTAGTGAAGATCCATCCACACCTTGCGACGTAGTTACATTGACGTACAATAGACAATGCTATTATATTTACATAGACGTAGTTATATACAACAGACAGTGCTATTATATTTATATAGAAGTAGTTATATACAACATACAGTACTATTATATTTACATAGAAGTAGTTACATAGACAAACAACAGACAGTACTATTATATTTACATAGAAGTAGTTACATAGACAAACAACAGACAGTACTATTGTATTTATATAGACGTAGTTACATGGGCAAACAACAGACAGTACTATTATATTTATATAGAAGTATTTATATACAACAGATAGTACTATTATATTTACATAGCAATAGTTATATACAATAGACAGTACTATTATATTTACACAGCAGTAGTTATATACAACAGACAGTACTATTATATTTATATAGAAGTAGTTACATACAACAGACAGTACTATTATATTTATATAGAAGTAGTTACATACAACAGACAGTAC